GCAGTATATGATATTTTAATAACGAGATAATATACCTGTAATATGTAGCATAGTCAACACACAAATTGAAATTTTGTAAAAAAATAAATATATTTTTCCCATGTGTATACATCACATTGTATTGAACGTGGTACAGCATGAGGACTGTCATACAGCAAAAATAGACCATTTTCCGTTCACTGCGAGAATCACGCGTTATGCGTGAAATCGAACGTAAAACAGGACAAACAAAGGTCATAGCGTCGTAGTGGTGTCAAACATCGCGTGGGATTCGACAAACGCGAAAGTATTTTGGGGACATTTCCATGCTTAATAATGTGCTGTCCACATTTGATGATAGGCAATTTCGATTAAGTAAGGGTATTCGGAAGCAATATTCCTCTGTCGAAGATCGGCCGGTCGGTGTGAGCTACGAAATAAGGAAATTCGAGTTCAAAATCAAATCGTTTGATTTTTGCGGCAGACGTTCGACGCGCGTCTTTCATGCATCTTGCGAGATCTCGCAATTGTACGGAAAATCAAATCAAATTTAAAATGATTAAAATCAGGAATTGATCATCATTGTGATTGAATTAGGATGTACATGTATGAGAAGAGTAGTTATTGCATGAATTATAATATGATATTTATGTGGTGAAAAGAAATTTATGGATTGATTTAAGAAGTGAGATCCGAAACAATATGAATAACGTGCTACAGTTGTCGCGCCGCATCATGTTAATTATAGTGACGTATACAACGCGTGTAAGATACATTATTTGTTTACACTAATAAAAAAATGTTGGATGATTTTTTTTCAAAAAAGTGTTTTGTAATAAATGTTTAAATATATTAATATTATTAGTCCCTGTGGAATATACTCCAAAATAGACTCTTATTTTTAGTGTTCTGTGTGTCCGTCCGTCCATGCATGTACATGATCAGCTGTTTGTCCATTCGTCCGTTCATCCAATCATCATTCCATGGATATGCCTGGATTGGTTGTTTTTCAAAGTTGGTAAAAATGGTATGCATATGCACATTGAATTGGTCATCGTTTTTGTTAAAAAAATCCCCCAAAAACTACATTTTACTATATGTCACCATCCATTACTGAGATGTGCCTTTAGCAATTTCATTCAAACTTGGCATTGACATCTCCCATGGATGGTTACTCATACAGTTCATTTTGTTTCATGGTTTGATAAACTGTTGCTGATTTTGTTTAAATTTGGTAAAAAGTCAAGGGGTTGCAATTGCTCTCTTCAGTTATTTTTGGATTTTGATGTAATTATAGACTGGCAATTCAAGATGGCTGAATAGTAGCCAATTTAACGCTGAAAATACATCAAAATCGAGTATCTCTGTTATTCTGAAACTGGATCTCGGTGGTTTATGGACTTTATTAGTTGATATATTTGACATTATGGGATTATGATGCTTGCACTTTTGCAGGTTGGATCAAAAATGTATCTGTTTTACTTTTGTTCAGTCACATGTCAACTTTTGTCACAAAATAAAATCTACATAATATTTTGTAGACTTTTTCCAAAACATTTGTAGCCAATAGGAAATGGTGTCCATTTGGTTCAAAATTATTAATAACAAAATTAAAAAATTCATAAAAACAAGCAAAATGGACAAATTATGGTGCCCCAAAGTTTAAAGTCGGGTGTGTGTGCTTTGCGCGTGTTTTTTCTCAAATCGTCAAATAACTGAAATTATCAAAAGTATATACCGTAATTTAACACGTTTTCCAATGCTTGGTAAAAAGACAGTATAAAATGTTCATAGTAAAATATAAACAGATTGTAGTATTATTAGTATACGTTTCTGTTTTGAGGGAAACCATACTGTTATAGATGTTAAGTTCATGATTAAGGCGTCACAGTTTTGCACTAACGAGTATTATAAATATGACTTTGTGAGTGAAATATCGGTATTAGCCAAAGTCATTACAAAAAGATGCTATGTAGAGAGTAAAGTGTGATGTTCCTATGGCAACCTTGGAAAACACAGAGTGAGGCTTATCGTAGTTATAGTAACTGTGTGCATGTCAGTTAGCATGGAAATTTATTAGTAACCCAGATTTAACATTAATCAGCAAGGCACAATGTGAGCGCACATGTTTTAAATAATTCTGTCTTCGTCCTTCTATGCGTCTGTCCATTCATCCATAGTCATATTTTTGAACCCTGTTGACCAAATCTGTTCATTCTTTGCAGGTGCCTAGTATTTTATCTGGGAAATATGCACATGCAGTGGTTTACTGATTCAATCCAAGATGGCTGACTGTCAGCCATTTTGTTGTTTGAAAATCTGGTAATCGTATGCATGCTTTGTCAGTTTTTGTTCAAATTTAGTACATACATTGTATATTTTAGATTACATGTCCATGACAATTAGTTTTACAATCAGACCAAAGATTACTGATTGGTGGCCATCTTGCTTTTTACTATACTATATATTTCCAAGGCTTAGGGACCATTTTCAATCATATTTAGCACATACATCAAACATATTGGAATACATGTCAATGTCAGTTTGTTTCATAGTCAGATCAAAATTGGCCAACTGGCATCCATCTTGTCTTTTTGAAAATGTGGTATCTTAGACAGGATTTGTCGGTTTTCAAATTAGATGCAAACATTTATACATGTTGAGATACATGTACATGTCCATGATAATTCGTTTCATGTTCCGTATATATATCTCTGTACATCAGCCTGGACAAATGATATTCATTTTGGATACAAAAAATGCATATTGCAATTTTGGAAGAGTCATTTACATCTAATTACATCTAATTTCTGTTGATGCTAGACCAATTATTCCCTCTAAATTATTGGTTTTGGTTCATTTTTGGCATGAATAACATTTCCCCTAATTCCAACAGGGACTATGTCATTAACAATGACTTGTTATGCTTTAAATTTTTATTTTTTTATTTTTAAACTCTGACAAGTGAAGTGTCATATGTAATCATATTTTATTGTCCATCGTCAATGAGTACTTCTTCCAACAATTTCCACCAAGATACTGTGGCTGTAGTTTGTTACAAACTCTTTTCCAGACCACACACAGCTAAAAAGCATAGCAATAAAATACCGGCAATAAAACATCCATTGCTATCACATATAGCGTTACAGTTTAAGTATCTCTCTACTATACTACAACTAACCTACCTTAAGAGCTGTGTTAATCATTTAAATACCAGAATTGCAATCTCATACATTATATTTCTGTAACGGTGAAGTATCTGTATTATGTGACACTTTACCAACTGCACCAGAAGTGGTATACATTACCATAGCAACAACTATACAGTATTTATCACCAAGTCTGCAAAATTGCAGACTAATGTGAATTAATATTAATTTATCACTGATTGAATAAAGAAATTGTACTTTTCAAGATAAATAAATGGAAAGAGCTGGATTTATTACATCTTTGTGATTATTTTTCTGAGATATTTTGGGCCTGAACTTAGAAGCATTTGTACATCAATGAATCAGTCTGTTGCATCATGGGTAAAATGATTCTGTTGCTAGGTGGTGATATAACTGGTATCTCCTGTTGGACAGGTCATATATATTATGTATAAAATGACCCACTTTTTTGTGTTGTATTTCAGGAATTTATTTTAGAAACATGAGAAATACATGATTTTAACATTTTTATACATTCCAGATCTGAAAATCCTATGTGGGTCTTTTTCAAGATTTTCATTCAAAATTACCTCTCCCTACTGCACTGACAGAGCAACTGAGCATGCTCAGAATAAATAATTAGCTTGGATTGTAATGCTAGGGTTTTTAGTGATGTCATGACCTGGTCATGACCTTGATCTGAACATGGATCTGAATTAGTGACAGATGGGTCATACCATTACCAATCTCCATGAAAAATGTAGAGGGGTGTCGGGCTACATTTTGATGGGAATTATAGTGGTAATACTGGAACAAACCTAGGTCTGTGTTATACAATAACCTGAATTAACAAAAAAGTCAAGTTGTTATTAAAAGTACTCAGGTTTACTCAGATTTATGAATGCAGTTTTTTGAGACATAGTTTGGTTGCACTTGTGTACTTTTTGGACCTGGGTCAATGACAGTTTTCAGTTATCAGATTAAGGGAATTCACTCTATGATGAGTTGTACCCACATAGAGTACATATTAATTCAATTGTTGGCAGATGTTCCATGTATTATTTTAACATGAATATTTTATAATTAAATAATGGGGACTGTGACATTCATGTTTTGTAGTGAATATTTTTGTTTTTTTTTAGTAAAATTAGCTATTTTCGCCTTCTTCATAAAAATGGCTGAACTGATTGCCCTGACTCTTTAAAGATTATTTTTTAAAACCCCCAGCCTGATTGGTGTAATATTTTATTTTGTAGGTACTTTAATTTGTTCCTTGGGTAGATAGATTTTATTCATTCCCCTCCCTATCTCATTGATTTATTTATAATAAAATTCCTAATTTTGATGAATATTCTTGAAAACTTCTTTCGCATTATAAATTTCAAACAGCAGAGCTATATCAGCTGACAAGTACGATAAATATTTTTGTTTTTTGACTTGAGATGCACAATGACCAGAAACCTTAATTTTCAAGACCTCACTGTATTAGTTTGATTTCATCATCCCATGCACACTGATTCTTTCACAAACTCTTCTGGACGGCCGTCAAAGTCAATGAACTGAGAGCTGGTTTGTCTATTACTTGGATGACAAGTAGAGCATATAATAACGTAATCAATGATGATTGAGGTTGATGGATAGAAGCTTGTCCCACTCGATATTTTTTTCCTAGAAATATCTACATGTTTTCTCTGAAACCTTTTAACCCTGATACGTGGAATCATTCAGTCATGTAAAACTATGTACAATGTAATTTGAGTCCTGTGAATTGTTCACCCCTGGAGCATATGCAGTCACAGTGGTTTAATTTTGCTCAGATGAAAATGCTTGTTCTGGGATCTCATTTCATTCTGAAATAATGAGACTGTTTCCTCCCAATAGTGTTCATTTATGTCTATATGCTAACTGATGATCCCTTCCTCCCTTGTTTTATGAGATAATGGGACTTAACATTCAATTTATAGTTTTCAATGTCCAAAAACTGAAAAAATTGACCTTCATCTGTCATCTGTCTGTCAATCCGTCTGTCCGCACCTTTATCTTGGATTGGGCAGATCACATTGCATTACATTTGTTTTGCGATTCAATTCAAAATGGCCAAATAAAGACCATTTTTATGCTTAAATTTCATCAAAATTAAGCATTTCTCCTATTCCAAAATCGGACGTCGATCGAGTATGTATATGTTTTATTCAAACTTGGTTCACTGTACATTGGATATAATGAGCTATTTTGTTTGCCTCAAGTATATTTCATCCACTAAGCCAGTAGTATCGGCAGCTAATTGGCAGACAATACAGCTGTGTTTGCATGCAATGCATTCAGGAAGCCAGTAGATCATTATCAGAACTTGGAGGCAACATTTCTTACAATGCTGCTATCAGCCAATTAGCTGACAATGTTGCTGGTTGCATGTAGATGTACAAAACATATTCTTAGCCACAGTAACAATTTTAAATCTCTTACATGCCTTGACCAATCACATTCAAAATTAATGTATTTGTGCGACAATCAAGGACGACCATTTTAATGTTAAAAATTCATCAAAATCATTTGTTCAAAAATTTTACATACATTGGATATTATGAGATCTTAATTGATTCACATTAATTTTGTTTTCCGATCCAAAAAGGCCGACTGATGGCCATTTTATTTTAATGATATCTGTTTAACAGCCAAATCTCTGACATGCTCTAACCGACTTTTGTGGAATCATCATGAAAAAATTTACTTTTCTCTTCTCAGAATTGTATTTTGTGGAATCATCATCAACAAAAATTTACTTTTCTCTTCTCAGAATTGTATTTTGTGGAATCATCATGAAAAAAATTTACTTTTCTCTTCTCAGAATTGTATTTTGTGGAATCATCATGAAAAAAATTTACTTTTCTCTTCTCAGAATTGTATTTTGTGGAATCATCATGAAAAAAATTTACTTTTCTCTTCTCAGAATTGTATTTTGTGGAATCATCATGAAAAAAATTTACTTTTCTCTTCTCAGAATTGTATTTTGTGGAATCATCATGAAAAAATACGTAGAAGCTAATATATCACAGAAATCGCACACTACTGTCAAATATTTTATGAAGATGTTGAGTAGTATAAGTGAAACTATTATTTTCATGTTTCTGGGTTTATCAGCGGTTCAAGATGACCATGTATGGGATATAGCGTTCATTCTTTGTACGCTGTTCTTTTGTTTGTTCTACAGAGCGACAGGTATGTGCAACATTGCCAATTTAATCTTTATACATACTGCTAACCACTTATTTTTGTGTGGAATATTTTACGAGAATATCGGGAGTTCTGGAAATTCTTTTAGATTGGGAGTCAAAAGGACTTCATGGAGATTTAGACCTCGTGAACACTCAGAAATTCTCTCAAAACCATAACATTTTCTGGTTGACACAAACTTTATGGTTATAGTATTTGGTTATTATTATTTTCTTGGATTTTACTATACGACTTCATTTTATGCTTTTGCTCACTGGGTCTCATTAAAATGGAAATTTTGAGCTATTTACAATTGATTCTTGTGGTAAAAGGTTTTGTTATACAACATTTACAAATTTTATTCATAATGTTTTAACATCAATTCTTTTGGAAAAAGTTCCAAAAAAGCCCGTTTTGATATGTTTTCGGACACTTTTTCACCAAAACATTTTTCATACTGGGTAATAAAAAGTTGTGAAATTGAAACATCTTAAAAGTATCTGATACAAAGAGAGTGATTAAAAGAAAATCTAAATACAAGTACAATAAACAAATACATGTAGACTGGCAAAGTCAGGAATTCCTTTTTGTTTGACAAAATGAAATAATTAATTGTTTTAGCGTGATCATGAAAACTAAAAGGACCTCAGAAGTGATAGTCACATTAACATAGATAAGATATGTCATTTACAGCTGCACTCAACTATTAATTAGCATATAATCACCGCAGTAATTCCGCTCCAGTTTTCACTCCACCTGCAGATGCGTCCAGTCGGGATTTCTTTCGCTGTCAGGCTAGTTTTTGCAATCACGGTAAAAAGGCTAAATTGACAATTAATAATATTTTTTTGTGAAACAAAAAAAAAGTCCCGACTTTGCCAGTCTAATATACTTGTTGTATTGCTCCTGACAGGTGTCATTGTATTAACCGCACTTGCTAATTGGTTTCGAGCAATCAAAGTGAACAAAGTGGAACAGTTCATCATGGCTTATGGCGGTTTGAGAGGTGCTATAGCATTCTCACTCGTCGTACTTTTAGAAGCCCCTACCCCAGGACTACAAACTAAGAAAGCGTTAATGAGTACTACATGTCTAATTGTTATATTTTTTACTGTCTTTGTACAGGTGAGTCGGCATTTATTAGTACATTTCACAATTTTATTTTTACAGTTTTCACTCTAAGTATATTGTCAGACAAAATATTACTATTTATAGTGACGATTACATGCCATTATATTTCCTACCAAAATCACACACTGCTGTAGATACACACAAACAATATCCAAATTCGAGACAAAAAGAATTCTTTATGTTTCTTAGTAGCATAATATAAACGGTATTATTTTCGAGTACACTCTTCCGTGACTATTAATCGTCAAGTACGGTATTATTAAACAGTGTTGCTATAATTAAAAGTGACTTTAATCATTTGACTTGACACAGACATGTTATACTAAAGAGAAACAATTTATCTTTTCTGTAACTATAATCATTGTACTGTGTTGAAACCATTAACACATCTGACTGGCTAATATCATAGTCCTTGGTTATATTCAACATCCTGTAATTACCATGTCACAGGCTTACAATTACAGTATCCATTATAACCATCGTCAAACCAGTTATTCCGACTCAGTGACCGCTAACTAATTACTGATCTTATAGTGTAGTTATAGGTGAGCGTATGGCACGAAATTAGAAACTGTACATTGAGAATATTGCACATATACCATATTTGTTCTATTAGAAGCACACATGTTATATCAGACGCCGTGGTAAAGTGTTAGAATTAATGCACACACATGGTATATGCATGAACAGTTACATATACTATATAGTACCGGTAGCTCATTATAATATGACTTAATATTTTGTCCACAGATGCACACTTGTCATTTACCTTAATGCATGCGCTACTAGGAGTGCAAATACGATGTACTGTAAAATACATTATTTTAGCTGGAATTAATTTTCAATGAGCATTTTTTGAGG